CTGTTCTCGGCGCAGAACCCCTCATCAATGGGGGCACCCAAGTTCCTCCAGAAGGATCTCCTTCTCTCCCAGTAGGTCAGTGGCCATCCAAGATTCTGGCAACTCAAGGGTAATTCCTCTGATACACATTAAAGTTTTTTGTTGGCCTTTTGTTAATCTAGATGAATTGCCTAATCCATTTCACCACCAAGAAATTAAAAAGGAGGATTAACACCAGGGAAAAATACATCAGCCAGGACTGGGGCCAGACCACTTATTTCAGCAGCATCCCTGGCTTAAAAAGACTGTGAGCCTACAGCAACAGCACATGCCTTCAACAGCTTTAAGCACATATTATCCCCATTTTATAAATAACAGACTGGAACTATTTTCATATTATCTAAGTGGCAAAACTCCAACCACCTTCTGTAAGAGCACGACTGGACCAAATGTTGTTGATAGTTAAACAAAAAAACCCCATGACTCGAACGCAAAAACTAAGAAAAAGTCTGCCAATGCATCATCTTCATATTTATATTCTTTCAGTTTTGCTGTAACAAACAGTACATAGAAACCATAGACTATTCCTTTTTCAAGGAGACATTGCAGGCAGGCTGCATTCTGGGGTTGGTTCTACTTCTTAGTATTTCTTTAAAATGAAAGGGCAGGGTCACCCATCAGGGAAAAAAAAAAAAGTGCATTTTAAAATACATGCAAAAAATATGAATTCTTTGATACTTTATGGTCAAACATCTGCTAAACTACTACTTTCTTTCAATTATGGGATTCTCAAAGTAACAATTATATCTATTTTCCTCAGAATCTGGGGGATATAATCAGTACTACCAGAAATCAAAACAGTCTCTCTATATATATCTGTATGTTTTTGCCAGTGTTGAACACTGGAAATGAGAGAAGGACATTGACTAAATACGGTAAACCTCCAGTTTGTCAGCTTCCTAAACAGAGCACTACCCAACATTCAATCCTGTTGTTACCTAGGAATCCATTTCTTCGAGGTGGGGACCATTTTCAATCTCTGCTGACTTCTGGATATCCAGGTCACTGCATTTTGTCTTTCTTCTCTCCCTGTCACTAAGACAGGCACAAAAGTAACTCTCTCCTTGTAAGGAGATCAAAGGAAGTGAAACCTTTCTCTTTGATACAACAGCTTCAAATCTTGGTATACACTGAAAGACAAAACATTTTTTTTTCCTCTTCAGTAAAAAAAAATCTAACCTTTTCTGTGCTGCCCCTTTTTGCTGTGTAAATCAGACTGAATCTGGAAGCTTGACATCCTGGCATGTTGCCCAGTCCTGAAGAAGTAAATAGGGAAATGTGGATTTTACCCACAAGATCACAAGGTACCAAAAAGCCTCCTGCACATCATCAGAACCGTTCCAACCCCGAGGGAGCCAACCAGCTCTATGCCAAACTCGTATCTGAGCCAAAGTGGGCACATCCCAACAAATCCAATAAATGGGCATAGCTCTGTCCACATTCCATAAGGTTTTCACCCCCATAGGCATGGGTTAGATAGAAGACCTGTAGGAAAAGACACTCCTTGTACCCTGGAGTCAATGCTGGCTGAGGCTCCATGGCTAAAATACTGTTTAGGGCTTCCTGTTCCTGCCCCAAAGGATCATAGATTTTTTTCCACACACTCGCATGGTGTATGCTGAAATGGAAAGTGAGCAGCCTCAGCATGTGCTCTGGCCATTGGGTCACTCTTAGGAAACACTGGTTTGAATTTCCATGGACAGAAAGGAAAACAAACCCTGCTTTTCCAACATCCAAAGCCAGGTTTCTAATCACTGTTAGGCTACTGACACATTCATAAGGAGCCCTTCAGAGCACTAGCTTAGGCAGCTGAGCTCCAGGAGCTCTGAGGGCACCAGGGGCCACTGAGTCCAGCATGAAGCACTAAGCACATCCAGGGAGAAGCAATGTTTTAAGTTGCTGTCAATGCTTCCTATTTTCTTAGCTCATCGGATCTCAAGCCTGAGGGCACATAATGGGAAGGAAGGAAGGAATACAGGACATAAGTGAGAGGATGGGAAAGCAAGAAATGGTCTCCTGTACCTGCTGCTGGGATGAGGGAGTCACCCTCTCTCATCTTAACCCCATTGCCAGACCTTAAAAAACAAAAAGTCCAGCCAGTGCTGTCCTCTGGCTCTAAGGAGGTATCGGGAGTGTCAAGGAAGGGGCCCTACAGAGACAGTAGTTTGTAAACTGAGGGGTCTGAAACATATTCTGATAGGAACACTGATTTAAAGCGTGGAATAACTATCAAGCTAATATCAAACACCTCCAGGGATCAGCTGAACAGTCCACTTCAGAGGCAGCTCTGAAGGGTGTCTCTGCCGCTGGCAGAACCCCAGTAGGTGCCCAGTGGCAAGATCATGGAGCCGACATCTGAAAGCCAGTCCTAGAATCATGGAATCGTAGAATGGTTTGGGTTGGAAAGGACCTTAAAGATCATCAAGTTCCAACCCCCTGCCACGGGCAGGCACACCCTCCACTCAGCCTTTAACACATCCCTCTGGCAAAGCTCAGCACGGCAGCGGTAGATCTCCTTGGTTTGATCCCGTGCAGCAACAGCAGCACAATGCCAGGAGAATCCGCATCAAGCATCTCATATTGAGTTGCATTATTCTGATTACAGGATGACTCACATTCCCAGAGCTTCTCGGCTAAAACAAGACAAATCAGAACTGCTGATACTCCCTCACTGAGGGAAATTGTTGAAATATTTCCGATGTGACTTAGGGCAGCCGCCTATCCCATTTTCTCAGGAACAGGGCACGGTGACAATCGCTGCTTAGAGCAGAGGCAGCAGATCTGGGAATGGATTCCTCAGAAATGATGAGGTGGTGGTTTTAATAGTCTAACCACACTTTTTTTTATTCCATGCTTGCGATGAGCACAAGTTTTAGGACAGGCACTTTTCTGAGCAGCACATTTTGCAACTCTCTTGTGCAGGGAGGCTGGTGACGAGCAGCTCTCGCCAGGCATTTCCGTCAGCCGGGCGGCCAGTCCAGCGATGGGAAGAACAAGAGCCAAGAGCTCACCAGGGACCAGCTACCCCGTGTAACCTCCTCCAGCACGAAAACCTGTCACAGCTTGCACAGAGAGCAATGAGACCAACAGAAACCGTAACAGCCACAAGCAGTAGAAGAGATTTTAAGTCAGACGGTAAGTAATTTAATAAAAACTATTCCACCAAGTGTGAGAAACTGCCCTCTCTTCTGTGAGAGATCTCACTGCCATGCAGTCTGCTACCATCAACACATACACCTCTTCAGAAACACCACAGATCTCAGAGGAAAGTAAAAAGGGGAGGATGAATAATACGAGTTTTGTTAACATTACTCAGTATAAAGCAGCACTGGATAATACAATCTGATCTTCCAAGACAGCACCAGCCACAGGTACTAGCCCGACCATTCAACTGCCAGGTCCTATTAGATCTTTACACATGAAAAAGGAGACGATCAGCCTCTGTGAGCATTTTTAAACATGTACATTCAGTACCTCTCTAAATGATCTTACCTAGGAGTAAGATCACTCAAGTGCAAAGAACTAAAGAGCTAAGAAAGGGAAGTGAAAAACAGACTTCTTGGGATGTGAAGAGGTTCACCAAGATCAAACTACAGGTTCTCTTTGCAGGTTCAACACTGGCTCAACAGCAAAAATGCCATTTTAATTTTAGCTTCCTTTTTAGACAGCTTGGAATAGGGCTGGAAATGATATAAAATAAGTTGTCGTTTTAACCTCTGCTTTAAATATTCTCCTATCAAAGCACTAAGCCTCAGACACATAATGGGATAATAAGATACTATTAATGGTTTTAGTTCTGCATTTTAGGCATGTGTTTACCTCACTATGACAGAAATACCTCAGACAAGATTTACAGTAGCAGCGTCACAAACCAAGTAAGATTTATTCCAAAAATACCTTAAATTACCCAGTTTTACTTTGTTGTATTTTGAGGGGCTACATATTTTTTCTAAGCAGAACCACTTTTATACATTATTTCTTTCATTTCAAACAGAAAGCTCACTATTTCAAAAATTTACAATTCATAAAAAAATTATGAGCATCATGTTGCCTTTTATTTCCTAAACTAAATTTGTATTTTCTCATAAAGGAATGTTTTTGAAGTGGTTGAGGAATAAGTCTATTGTTATTTATGGAGAGTAGTGACAGAAGAAGGTTGTCATCCAGCCTTTATATAGCAATCCTGAGAAAGCCCCACATCAATATGTACAAAACCAAAATCTTATAAATCAGTTTGCTTTCAAGCAAGCTAGTATTTTGGGGCTTAAAACACCTGAATTTTGCTGAGCCCAGCTAACGATCATTCTTGTTCCTGAAGTAATGTATCACTCATGATCCACTAAAAGGCATCACACAGTTCAGTAACAGGTAAGTGCTGAAGAGTTTTCCAAGGTGAGCATGAGATAGGGGGATGGAAAGGACACACAGGTACCAACTGCCATGCTGAGTGAGGGGCTGGCACTTTCCAAGCTCAGCACGAGATTCTCCTCCTCTTCCTGCTGTCTTGTTTTTTGCCAGAGTGAAGTGCTAAGCTTGGCAGGATAGCAGAAATCATGTCATCTTAACATCCCATGGCAAACTTCTCTGGACAAAATAAAAAAAAAAAAAAAAAAAGGCTGGAAAGCCCGTGATCATAAGAACAAATTTCCCACCAACCCCAATGAAGATGCAGAATCTGCAAACAAGGTCCAGCAGTGTTAAACAAGAGGGTATAGATTTAATGAAGAATTCAGGAACCAACTCTAATTTTCCAAGCCAGTTCAACCAAACTGAGTTAAACAAAACTGCATAATTCACAACTATGTCATACAGAAAAGCCCCAGAAAAATAGCATCTTGTTTGCAGAGCTATTAAAGCAGGAAGAAAACACCAGTTTGACCATTGAGAGAAAAAGTTGTTGGGGGTGTAACACAGTTTAGCTTAAAAAGCAAGTGATACCTAATTCCAAAAGGAAGAGTTACCTTCTGGTGGAGTTGCAACACTGTTCCCAAGTCCCAAAATAGCAATGCTGTGATTCCGTGGTTCCAGCATCATTGCAAATTCTTCTCCTCTTTCCCAGTGTGGTACTTTCACAGGCTCCAGATGGACGTTTTCCAGCCCGTCTTCCTGCAGGGCACTGAACATATACTTGATGGCTGTATCTAGATTTTTTGAACCGCTGAGTCTAGGCCCTATGGTATCAGCAAAAACTGCTAATCTTTCATATGATCTGTTCTGAGCTTTTCCATAAACAGAAAGATCAATAATAGCTTTAGCAATATCAGTATAGCCAGCTATCTCATTTTTCACATCTTCAAACGTTTTTGGGTAATTGTCATCTCTTCTCAAAGATTTCCCAGCATACTGTGGTGATAAATGAATGAAAAATATTAAGAATATGTAATTCATTGTTTCTCTTTTTTCTTTTCCACAGACGCCTGTTGGAGACAAAAATAAATGAAAAAAAAAAATATTAGAAAAAAATAAAGCTACCAGCAATACTTTTGGTTATTTGGATTGGCAGACAGACCAAAATGAAAAGATATCAGTTTATCATGAAAATGCTTTGATCAAAACTGGCAGGAAAGTAAACTAAACTTGGAGACACAATTATTGAAAGCAAATGAAAAAGATACTTAGACCACTGGGCACGATCTTTGTTGTGGTCTTCAGAAATATCCTTGGAATGCTGCATCTCTTTAAATAATCACATCCTTCACTGAATCAAAACCCAGGGCTGCTGCCATCCAGGAGGAGCTGTGCATCTCCTTTCTGTTAGGAGCAGGATTTGCCAGAAGTGCCAAATCAAATGTCTTCACACAAAACACCTGGACAAAAACATTTCTTAAACCATTCATGAATAAAAGTGCTTCTTAAACTCTGTCTTCATAACCAGGAAAGCACTTCCTACTGCACTAGAAAGACATCAGAGCAATTTAGAACCAATGCCCCTTAGGAAGAAAGTACGAATTTCTTCATTGCACAAACCCCTGACTACCAGAGAAACACAATTTCTTATTAACTGGTGTATCTCTTAAGGACTGACTTCATCAGCAATGCAGAGGTGCAGCACCAGGGGTGCTGATGCTCTGTGGAGTACCAAGAGTTATCTTTGTTAACGCTTTATAGTTTATCTGTCTTATCGGTAAAAGTTCTCATTGTTAAGATTTTATAAATGTCAAATCCCATAAAAGCAACAGTTTGCCTATACTATTAATTGAACTGACAAAAAAACCTCTGGAATCAGTTGGAGCAGTTGAAAAGCTCTTTTATAACACAGGAAGCATGATTAGCCAAACCCAAAAGATAAAGGTCTCTACTGATATATACAAAATGATATATAATTCTTTCATTTTCCTTTGTATTTAAATCAGGCTGCAGTTTCAATGACAAAAATTAGCAATAAGAAATAAGGCCTTTAAATCAGCTCTACAGCTGCAGCTATAATGAGACTTAAGGAAACAGTAATCGGTCACAGCTAAGTGAACAGCCCAAAAAGATTCAGCACTTCTGCCGTTTTCATGAACTTTCATGGGAATACCGATATTTCTGAAAAAGAATGTAATTTGACCCAAAAAATAGTAACACTAAAGGCAAATGTTAGTCTCTTCTCTACAAAATCTGTTCTTGGAAACAATTGTTCTGTAAATAGCAAAGAACTATCTAGTTGGCTAATATGGATAAAATATGGGTAAACCAGACCTGCGTGGCAGAAGCATCACTAAAAGCTTTTGCTGTTAGGATTTCTACATTATCATTCTTCCCTGTTTGTATTTATTAAGTATTTCTGGAGAGTTATACTCTTCATTTTATAATCACTGACCTGAGGAATCAGAACAATATCCTCTTGGATTGCTTATACCCTGCGGTGCTAACAATATCACACCTTGTATTTTTGGTTCATGATGTTATATACATACAAAGAGCCAGTACAAAGGTAGGAGGGAGGATATGAGAGTGTGTGTATGTGTATATGTATATACATGTATTTGCATATATTATATCCACATGTGATATCAAGCAAAATACAAAAAAATCCTCCTTTATTTTCAGACAATTGCACACTACAGGAGCTTTAACTGAGCATTATTTCTCAGTCATTTCATGAAGTACACAAATTTCACAATAACCATATAGCTTTGGAAATCCTAATGCCAGAAGGGAACAAATGATCTACCTCATCTGACCACCACAGAATACTGATTGTGGGATATTCCTGAATTAACTCCCACTACCAGATGCCACGCAGCAAACCAGCAGTGGAGCCAATTCCTGAGAGAGTAACGGTGAGGACACTCACTGCAACTGCACATAGATCTCTAACTCCTCGTACTTATTCCCCATGTTGCATATATTAGTGTACAGGCACTTGGAAGTACGGATTCATCAGTGGAAACAGAGGGGCAACCCACAATATTTTTCTGAGAGCTGTCTGATCAGCTCCCAAGAAGGGGGAATGACCCACCAGGCATGCATTCATAAGATGCCATCTGAAATGTCGGCTGTGCAATGCCAAAAGAAAGAGTGAAAGGATTAAACCACATTTCTAGGATCCGTAAACCCCCAGAAGAAAAAAAAAAAAAAAAAAAAAAAAAACAAATACCCAAAAAAACACATACACTACATTTCTGGAGACACCAAGCCTAGCTCATATGATAACCAGTAAAAACTGCCAGCCTTGCATAGGTCTTTATGGGCCTTTTCATAAACAGCAAGTTAAACAATAGCTTTAGCAATATAAGAATATTAAGCTATTCTCCTTAACTATTCAAATGCTCCCTAAACCTGAGATCAAGGGAGTAAGAAATTCTTCTCAGTGAAGCGTCATTTTCCCAGAAGAACAACAAAAATCGCCTGTGATTTCATCTCTGAATGACAAATCTATCACACAGATTTCCTCTCTCTCTGCGAGACAGACAGGGCAAAGGTCTTGCACAACCAGGAGCAGAAGACTTGAGGGTTATCTCAGGACACGGACAGAGAACTGTAAAAAGCCTTTTATAGTCTGAGTTACTGTTTATTTGTGGTTATACTACACAGAGAGTATTGGTGTATTTTTATTGCTAAGCTCTGTACTTTCCCCATGTTCCTTCCCTTTGGACCAGTTAATTACATGCTCCTAGACATCCTCTGCTAGAGACACCAGCAATTTTCCCAGGATGACCATGCTTGTTCTCTGATTTTTGCCAAGCTCATTGTCCACAAAGAAGCAAGCAAGACAATCTGATTTCTGCCATAAAACAAATTCTTCCTCGGTGGAGTAAGACAACAACTTTGTAGAGTTAGTTTCAAAAACTTAAGGTTTGGGTTTTGTTTGTTTAAGGGTTTGCAGAATCTACCAGACAAAGCTGATACATTTAGTTGTTAAATAGAAAACACAGAGGGATTGTTTAGCTAGCATTGGCAACCAAAAAGAGCCCCCAGATACCAACTTCATGCATTTTTTTTTTCAATGGAGAAATGAAACCACAGTTATCATATTTCCCTTAACTAAGAAATGTTCTTTGCTCTTCCTGGCCTGATTCAAAACCAGCAGCATCCTCACTCCAAAGCCTGCCCCAGAGGACCTGCAATTAAGAGCCGCACTTTTTCCAGGAATTTCCCACTGAACACTGAGAACAGACATGTTTCCACAGCTTCTGTGGATGTAACATACTCCCACCACGCATAGTGTTTCACTATCTGCCACTGCACTGTAAGAGGAGCGTAACTAAATTCAAACCCTGGATAAAGACACAAGAATGGGAACGTAATTTATTGTGCTTTCCTTGAATAATCCAGGATAATCTGGCCAAAAGCTAGCAGTGTTCAGAAATAATTCCCTGCTAGGTAAAGTAACATCATACTCCCTTGGACTGCAATACAGGAATCACTCTACTGCTAATTCAGGGAAAGAATAGCACATCTGTTGTCCCAGTCACTGCAACATTAAGTTTATCACCCCCGTGAATCATCTGGGAAAAGAGACCACTGATTTTCGCACATCTCACTATTTAGACTTAGCAAACGAACTCTGCAGGGCCAAATTAAAAAACAAAAATCATAACACAGTCACAATTGCTTGACGCATTCAGAGCAAAATGAGACAGGAAGAAAATACCCTTTCAGGAAGTACAGTCCTTTGTCCCAGCCCTACTAATGCATTCCATAGCTCCTTAGTACAAAATAATAATTTTCTAAACTAAGGATAAGAATCTGGGATTCCCCTTGTCCTTCCAAGAGGCAAGAATGCTCATCAGAAGGTTTCAGTCACTCTGTTTTATTTCTCTGACCCTATAAATCCTGCATGCATGAAAAGGACAAAGAATGGTCCTGCTCCAGCCTCGCTGGCAGCCTCACGTTTAAGATATTCTCCTAAAAAGTGAAGTTGTCAAGACGATGTAAAAACCTACAATTTCCACCTTTCACTTCCAATCACTAGCATATTAAGCAAAAAGTGGGAGCTGCCATTGCTCCTCTTCCCATTTTGAGCAGAACTGAAAGCCCTTCACATACTAGACACTGAATGTTTATACCAGACAGATTCGGGAACTTCAGCAGGGCTCAGGACTTAATCATCTCCAGTTTAAAGGACTACACAGGCCCTCAGCTTTCCGTCCTCAGGAACCATGGAAACTCTGTGGTCCAAAATGAGCACAGAGCTAAAAGGCAGTAATGGTTCTTTTAGCTTCAGGTGGAGTCGACAGTGTGCATCCAGCCATGGCAGCACCTAGATCCATACACAGAAGGAATGATGGGTTCTGAATATAGTCCATAGAAGGGAGAAACTTCTTCCTACAGAATCCTAGCAGAACATTTCAGAGGGAAAGTCTGGAGCGAGGAAGACACCCTTGGTGGAAGAAGAGCAGGGTAGGGAGCATGTAAACAAACGATGTAAATCTATGAGGCCTGAAGGGCTGCACCCACATGTGCCAAGAGCCAGATGATGTCACTGTGAGGCCACTCTCTATTATCTTGAACAGTCATGTCACTCCTAACTTCAAGAAGTGCAAGAAGTAAGATGTGGGGAACTACAGGCCAGTCAGCCTCACCTTGATCCCTGGCGAGGCAACAGGAGAAAACACCCCTGGAAACTATTTCCAGCCACATGAAGGACAAGAAGGTGACTCAGAAAAGTTAGCATGGATTTACCAAGGGGAAATCATGGTTAATCAACATGGTAGCCGTCTAGGAGAAAACGACTGGCTTTGCAGACAAGGGGAGAGCAGTGGATGTTCTTTACCTTGACATTAGCAAGGCTTTTGACGCTGTCTCCCATCAGCTCTTCTTAGGGAAGCTGATGAAGTACAGGCTGGATGAGCAGAGAGCGAGGTGGACTGAAAACTGGCTGAACAGCCAAGCTCAGAGGACTTTTGATTATTGGTACGATATCTAGTTTGTGGCCAGTAACTACTGGTGTCCCCTAGAAGCTAATACTTTGTCCAATACG